GGAATTTCTGGAGGACCTGCGCGCGTACCTGAAGCACTCGGAGCACAAGATACGCCACGGCGACACTGCTGGCGCTCTTGAGCACTTCGAAGAGGCGTACGCCCTCATCGCCGATCGCTTCCAACTCCTTCAAGTCGCCGACGCCTCCGACTTCAAGACGGCGCACCGCTTCAAGCTGTACCAGCAGAAAAGTGTGCTGACTTCGCGCCCCTTCAAGCAGGCGCTCGCGGATGTGGCAGCGATGAACCGCGCCCAAGGCTCCTATGGTCGCGGTTCTTCCCTTGGAGGCCGAGGCCCCACGGGGTTTGGTGGCAAATTCGACATGGCTCCTGGCTGCAATCCAAAGGGCTTCCGCGGCACCTGTTTCCGCTGTGGCCAGCCAGGCCACACTGCCAACGCATGCCCTGCCGGTGGGCACGGTCCTCACGGACCCGCGCCGGTAGTTTAAACTCGACGGGGCGGCTATTGGCCTTGCCCTTGGGCTGGTTTTTATTGCCGTTTGGCTAAGGGGAAAGACCTTTGGGGTCTAAGGCGTTTGCCTAGAAGCTCTCTAGAGCATCATGAAGTTGATCTCTTCCCGTTTAGTTTTGCTGTGAAAATGTTTCTAAAGGGAATAGACCATTGAGGGTCTAAGGGCGCTTGCATAGAAGTTCTTGATAAGCTCTATGGAGTTGCTCTTTCTAATTATAAATTTTTGTTGTGCATTTTGTTGTGAGAGTGAAGAGAAGCCTTACTAAAGGATCTCCTGGTTGCTCTTCAGTTTTTCTCACGCCACGCCTCAAGGAGGCCTTTTGAGGGAGGCAATTGAAGCCTCGAGAAACTTAATCTCCTAACATTAATTTGAAAAACCAAAGGGCAAACAACCTTGCCATGGGCTGACACATAAAAGAAATGGCAGAAGTTGAGAGAGAGAGAGAGAGAGAGAGAGAGAGAGAGAGAGAGAGAGAGAGAGAGAGAGAGAGAGAGAGAGAGAGAGAGAGAGAGAGAGAGAGAGAAAGAGAGAAAGAGAGGGAGAGGGTGAGAAAGAGAGAGAGGGAGGGTGAGAGAGATAGAGAGAGAGAGAGAGAGAGAGAGAGAGAGAGAGAGAGAGAGAGAGAGAGAGAGAGAAAGAAAGAGAGAAAGAGAGAGAAAGAGAGAGAAAGGGAGAGGGTGAGAAGGTCGAGAAATGGAACCACGGAATGGGGGGAGTGCTAGCCCTGGTCTCGTGCTTACAAGAGGGGTTATCCCACTCGAGCGTCAATGCTTGCTTGGTTAAAAAAAAAAAAAAAAAAAACGCTAACGGTCATGTGTTGCATTTTCGTATACTGCCATGTGCAGGCCTGCCGATGCATGCCTTGGGGCAACCAGACGACCCTTTCGAGTACGCAGTGACGGATAGGACAACTTTCGTCATGCGAGGGCGCTTGCGATCCGCACTGGCTTGGTGGCGAACATGGTGTACGAGCAGTCTTATCTTATCAATTATCGAACGAGGCTACTGGATGCCGTGGAAACAAGGACCGCCACGACCATTTCAGTGCTCCAATCATGCTGGAACCCATGCTCACACGGATTTTACGCGATCAGCCATCATAGACCTTCTTCAAACTGGCGCAGCAATCGAGGTGCCAGCATCGGAGCTTGCATGCATTAGCCCCATCAACGTCGTCGAGCAGCGAGACAAGTGTCGCCTCATCCTAGATTTACGCAAAGTTAATAACGAGCTGTGCATTCCGAAGTTCAAGTACGAAGGACTATCTCGCGTGGCGGAACTTGCACATCCGGGGGATTGGATGTTTTCAATTGATCTCAAGTCGGGTTACCACCACGTTGACATCCACGCATCCTGTTGGAAATTCTTGGCCTTCAGTTCGAGGGGCGTTCGTACTGTTTCAGATCACTTCCGTTCGGACTAGCGACAGCGCCTTTCGTCTTTACTCAATTGATCAAGCAGTTGGCACGTCGATGGCGAGCAACAGGGGTCCGCGTCATTCCCTACGTAGATGACATCCTCTTTCTGTGCCACACAGAAGGCGCGGCTCGAGATGTCTGCTCCCGCACGATCACGGACCTAAGAGAAGCGGGCCTCGTGATCAACGCCAAAAAGTCTCATCTCCATCCTACTCAGCAGCTAAGATTCCTAGGATTGGAGCTCGATACCCAACGAGGACAGTTTTCTGTCGGCACCGAGCGACGAAGCGTCCTGCAATCCACCATCGCCTCATTATTGGCAGCAGGACGTGCACAGCACAAAGTCCCAGTACGGCAAGTCGCGCGCATCACAGGCATGCTCGCCTCCATGACCCTTGCTCTTGGGGCGACAGCGCGAGCATTCAGTCATGCCTTACTACAAACCATCAACGATGCGTCTTCATGGAACAGCAGGTTGTTACTGTCCCCGAGTGCTTGCGAAGAGTTGGAGTTCTGGTCAACCGAGTTCGACCACTTCAATGGAGCCCCATTTCATGTTCGTGGTAGCTACGACGCTATCATTCACGTCGACGCCAGCGCGCACAGCTGGGGGGCCACACTCGACACATTCTCCACGACGACTCATAAGGCCTGCGCGAACATGCCCCTGGAACTACCTGGCCCATCCAGTACTCGTCGTGAATTAGAAGGGGTGCTCTGGGCGCTGCAAACTTTCACCAGCTTCATCCAGAACAAGCATGTGCTCGTGCGTGTCGACAACCAGGGCGTATTCTTTATTCTAAAAAAGGGTGGATCACGCAACAGTTTTCTCACTTCCGCATGCAAAGCCATCATCCGCACCTGCATGACTCGTCGCATTCGCTTGATCATGGAATGGATACCTCGCGAGCTTAACACGCTCGCGGACGAGCTCTCGAAGACTCTCGACCGAGATGACTACACCTTGAAGGCCCCATGGTTTAATCTTCTCGAACGACGTTGGGGGCCGCACTCTATAGATCTCTTTGCCAGTGCTGCGAATGCCAAGCTCCCCCGATTCTACTGCGAACACCCACATCCCAAGGCATTAGCGATCAATGCCTTCGCAACATCCTGGGCTGACGAACATGGTTTCGCTTTTCCACCACCACAATTGATCCCGGCAGTCCTTCACCACGCACAAAGGACATCAGCCTCACTGACACTCATCGTCCCCTTCTGGCCCGGGGCTAGTTGGTGGCCACTACTCCAACCCTCGCCACCCGCCTGGGCCTCGCCGATCCGTGATTGCCTGAAACTTACTCACGGAAGCCAATGCCTCGCACCAGGCACGCACACCTCAGCATTCTCGGGTTCCGGCCTCCCCCATAGCATGATGATGGCCTTGCGCATCTCCTTCCGTTAACATATTCTGTTTGCGTCCTCTCTTATCGCTTCAGGATTACTCCGCTCGCTGCAGAGCCAATTGCTCACAATGATGCTGCAAACACGTGCGAAATCTACGATCAAGACTTACGAACCATATTGGCAGCAGTTCCGCTCATTCTGCATCAAGCCTAAATTACCATTCCTGCCCGCACAAGATATGACACTCGCGCTGTACCTCGTCTACGCCATTCGCCACCAAGCCACCTTCTCAGTGGTGCAACTCACTTGCTCGGCGGTTGGTTTTGCCCACCGTATGATTGGGGCCGCGTGCCCTACCATCGGCCCAATGACATCTCAAGTCCGAGAATTTGCCAAGCGCCACTGCCCTCGGCCCCACCGGACCAAGGAACCAGTGTCTCTTCACCAAGTGCACGCCATGGCCGCACCCTTCATTGGCTCGGACGACCCATCCACCTTTCAAAAAGGACTCATACCGCTTCTCATGTACGCCGGCTTCCTGCGGTATTCGGATCTCGCCGCCATCTGCTGGAACGATATCCAGTTTGAAGACGATGCCATGTGGCTACTCATCCCGCGCTCGAAGACCGACCAAGAGGGGAAGGGCTCATGGGTGCCCATTGCCGCAAGCCAGGGACCCTTCTGCCCCGTTCGATGCACCAAGCACTTCATCCAACTGGCAGGATATGGTCCTACCACACCGGGGCCATTAATCCGAGTGTTTGGTTTGGCCACGAGCGACACACTTCCCGTCAAACCACCATCGTATACCACAATACGCAATTGGTGCAGGGAAGCTTTCCACGCCATCGGCCTCGGCGACCACGCGCTCGGCACCCACTCCTTTCGCAAAGGAGCGGCAACTGTAGCGGCAAACGCAGGAATTGAGGATCGGCTCTTCAAACAGCTAGGTCGATGGCGCAGTGAAGCGGCCAAGGAAATGTATGTCACCCCCACCGCCGACCGTCTGATTGACGCCTCTCGCAACCTCCAATCAACGGCTCATGCGCCATCACCAGCACAACATTCCAGGGCCCTCAAGCGCCGCCGTCACGCCCCCTTGCACATGTCTCAGCGTCACCCATTGTAATGAGAACGATGCCAATTGCTACACAAGCAAGCTTTCTCAATATGAAAAATTTCTAAGCGTTTATCGCTTTCAAATTTGCGTATTGTGAAAGCGAAGCTGACTGTAATGCAATTTTGTGCATCGTCGAAGCGCGGTATTCGCCTTCTCCGAATATATAATGTGGGCTGGGGTCATTCTTCCCCCACCCACGTCTCTCATTTTACAATCGCTCAAGTTCAATTCCCACCCACCCTCCCCGTGCTAGTCATCTTTTGAGAGTAGAAGAAGTTCTTAGATATTTTGGATGTGATAGTATATTATTATAATTGCTAGGAACCATTGTACTTGAGCCCATTGTAATGAGAACGATGCCAATTGCTACAGAAGCAAGCTTTCTCAATATAATGGATTGGGTAACAACCGAGACCTGTTATCAATATCTTAATAATTTGAGAAGCATCATTTGAAGAGCCGACATGGCATGCACAGAAAACTAATGTTTGAAACTTGAAGTGTGGTATGAGGATTCACCGTTTCGCCAACCTGCTTCTCATCTTGCGGATTATGACACCGTATTACTATTTTCGCACATGCCAAGTGTTTTCGTCAAGCCCTAGAATTTTTCCAAAACCCGGTGCGCACTTGCTCCCCTTTACTAGCCCTCGTCATTATAGTCACCACCTACACCATCTGTGCAGTGTTGCACATCAAGCAATTCACTACTAGCAGCAGAGCCCCCTCGTGGGGTTACCACACCAGGTGTTACACACCCAGTTGCTGCCTTCATCTCCCCAATCAGCCCATAAGCAGCACTATTTATTTCAGCCACCCGCTTTTCTTTTGCCCGAAGCAGTGTGGTGTAGAGGGACCGGGCAGCTTCCAGCTCTGAAACTTTTGCAGCTGCCCGACGCCGCTGGGCGCGCATCCGGGCAGCAGCTTCATTGCGGGCAAGCTGAGCTTGTTCCAGGGCAGCTAGGGCAGAAGAGCGGGCAGAAGAAAGAGATGCATCACCTGCACCGTCCACTTCAGCTGTCACTGCACTTCTCCCCCCCACCTCCTCTCCTTCAGCAGTTCCCTCTCCCACCTCAGTCACTCCCTCCTCCCCCTCCCCCTCCCCCTCCTCTCCATTCCCCTCTCCTTCGACTTCGGCTGTCTTGCTTCCCTTGCTGCTGCCCTCATTTCCCCCATCAACCGTAACCACAACCCCTGCCTGGTTACCAGGACCCCCTTCCCCCTTTACAAGCCCCTCCAGACTTGTGTCATTATTCTCATTGTCAGTACATGCCATCTCCTGAGTCAACTCAAATGTCACCTGGTTATCAGCAACCCCTTCCCCCTTGACAAACACTTCCAAGCTTGAGCCTTTATTCTCTGTGTCAGTACATGCCGTGAGCCGTGCAACTTCCTTGGAAGCTTCCTCCAATGCAGCTTCGGCGTCTGCCAGGTCATCCTGGGCATCCAAAGCTGCAGCCACGGCGGCCTTAGCTTCGGCATGGCACTGTCGCCGAGCCTGCTTGGCTCGGGAAACCTCGTCTAACTGCAGAAGGTCCGGATGCTCCGAACAAATTGTTGTACTCTCGCCTTCATTATTGTCACCCTCGACACTGCCGTCCTTCTCACTGTCACGCTCGCTATTGGCACCATCAATTCGGTCACCCTCACCTTGATAGTCACCCTCATTCTTGTCACCCTCGCCCTTGTAATTGTCACCCTCGCCCTCGTTATTGCCACCCTCGCCCTCGTTATTGTCACCCTCGCCCTCGTGACAGTCACCCTCGCCATTTCTGTCATTATCGTTACTGTCACTATCTGCTGCTGCTGCAGCTGCTGTTGGTGTATCCTCTGCTCTTGAATCTTCTGTTGTTGCATCCGCCAGAAGTCCCTTCAAATCTTCTGCTGCTGTTTGTGTGGGTGCTGGCGAACGTTCCACTGCTGCTGCTGCACTTTCTATGGCTGCTGCTTCTTCTGCCGGTGCTGACTGTCTATCGCATCCCTCCACATGCACCCCAGACAAGCCTCCATCAGCTGCAGCAGCACTACCAACCACAGTGCAAGCAGATGCAACATCGGCATCAGCAGCAGCATCAGCATCAACAGCAAAAGCACCAGCATTAGCATTAGCAGCAGCAGCAGAAGCATCAGTATCAGCACCAGCAGCAGCGGCAGAAACATCAGCACCAGCATCAGCAGCATCACCACCATCATCAGCATCATTATCAGCATTTGCAGCAACCGCAACATCAGAACTCTGTGACGCAATCCCTTCCCCTTCGCCTCCCCCACCTCCTCCTACTCCTCCCTCTGCTGAAGTCACTTCGCTCGTCTCGCCACCATCACTCCTGTCATCCCCACTCCCTTCTCCTTCCCCTTTTCTTCTCCCTGAAACCTTCTCCCCCACGCCCACTGCCCCCACTGCCCCCACTGCCCCGGCTGCCCCAGCTGACGCCCCCACCACAGCACCATCAATGAGGGTCCTCCCACGTCCCTTCCTATCCAAGTACCCTGAAAACAGCTTCCCACCAGCCCCAACCCCACCGGCCCCCGAGGCAACTGCAGGTTCGCGCATGTTCAGCATCGAATCAATGTTGTAGAACCGCTTTCCGAGCCTGAACGGCAGGTCCGGCACAGCGTCGGTCGCCTCCGAAGCTATGGTGCCAGCATCGCTGTCAGTGCTGCAAGGGCTGGGCTCTCCTTCCCCACCCTCCCCCCTCTGCGCCTCCTCTTGAGTCGACTCAAAAGCAGGCTCTCCTTTCCCACCCTCCCCCCTCTGCGCCTCCTCTCTCCCTCCTCCTGCCTCTGCAGAGATAGGAACCTCATTTGCCCCTCGCCATTTCCCGCTCTCCTCCGTTTCCCCTCCTTCCTCCGCCAGAAGACCCCTTACTAAACTTTGACTCAGCCCAAAGGACCTCACTCCTTCCTCAGTGGTTGACTCTTCCCTCTCACATGCCCCTTCTTCTTGTTCAGATGCTATAACCTCTTTCCCAAACCCCAAGTCCACATCGCGCATGTTCTTCAGCAGTTCTTGATACCACTCCTCGTCTTCATCTTCCTCCTCCTCACCCTCCCCACCCGTCCCTCCCTCCACCCCCCCACCCAAACCACCCTCTCTCCCACTCTCCTCCCTCTCCCCCTTCCCCTCTCTCTGCCCACTCCTCTCCCCAACCCCCCGTTTCCTACCCTCAAACTCCCCCCTCATCTCCTCCTCTCCCTCCACCCCAACTCCAACAGACGAGTCCCAACCCCCACTAGACACACTCCAAGCATCACTCTCAATGTCTGTCTCAATTCCTGTTTCTGTCTCTGCAGGCATATCTGCATCCCCACCACCCATCTCCATCCCCCCTTCCAAACCCTCACCTTTTTCCATGCTACCCTCCCCACCTTTCCTTCTCACCTTCCTCCCCTTCTTTTCTCGCCCCCCTCGCCCCTCTCCAACCTCCAGTTCCTCCAAAAAAAGATTTATTGCTTCATTCAAGCTGCCCGAACCCTGCGATCCCAGGAGGGAACCAAGGCTAAGTTTCAAGCTGCCCGTGTCACTCCCACCTCCTGCTCCTGAGCCTGCTCCCGAGCCTCTTCCTACCGGACCTCCGGCTGGGGAGCCTCCTACCGAACCTCCAGCTCCCGAACCACCACGAACCAGCTTCTCTCCTGCCTTTGCTTCTCCTCCTCCTTCTCCCTTTCCCACTGTTGACACCCCTCCCAGTCTCGCTCCCTCCTCTCCACCCCCCTTCCTGCTGCCAATGCTCTCTTTGCCTTGACTCCCACCGGATCGCACCCTTCTCAACCTGGATCCACCATCTGAACCTTCAATAGATGATGCTCCTGCTCCTGCTGCTGCTGACGCTGCTGAAACTGCTGAAACTGCTGATGCTGCTGATACAGCTGATGCTGCTGATACAGCTGATGCTGCTGATACAGCTGATGCTGCTGATACAGCTGATGCTGCTGATACAGCTGATGCTGCTGATACAGCTGATGCTGCTGATACAGCTGATGCTGCTGATACAGCTGATGCTGCTGACACAGCTGAGGCAAAAGATGCCGAGCCAGGATCCGCCCTACCTCCTCCTGTCACTAACTCCATCCGCCTCCTCTCCCTCCCCTTCTCCTTCTCCCTTCCTTTCCTCCCCTCCCTCCCACCCCTCTCGTTCCCACTGCCCCCACTTTCAAGGCTGCTTCGAGCCTGCTCCCGAGCCAAGTCAAGTCCGGAGCTGATCCGAGGCTGATCGTGGCTCGGCCCTAGGCTGGAGCTACACCAAACATGCTCCAGGGTTGGGTCAGTGCCGAAGCTGCTCCGATCCTCCTCAGAAGACGAGAGGAAGAGAGGGATGGGGAGGATGACGTCAGCATGGGGCGTCGGACGAATGGCGGAGTGACAGCTGGAGCTCGGAGGAAGGTACGGAGATGAGGAGGAGAGGAGGGGGGATGGGGTGGCGACAGAAGCTTCGTCTGCTGCAGAGCGTTTTCCGGGTGTGTTTTGAGTCGAGTCAATAGCAGCACCCACAGAGGCAGAGCCATCAGAGGCTGCAGCCACAGCAGCAGCAGGTGCAGCAGCAGCAGGTGCAGTGGTGGTGGCTCTGACAGTAGTCTCGACAGCAGCAGTCCCCTCATGTGCTGTGGGCTCACTTCCTTGCAGCACCTTACCATCCCCCTCTCCTGCGCCCCGTACCCCTCCTGCCGACGCTGCTGACTCTCCCACAGCAGCAGCAGCAGCAGGTGTCTGCAGCTTGACTGCAAACACGGAGAGAACAGGGATGGGTGCACTCATATCCACATCCCCATATGCTCTCACCCCACTGGTAGCAGAGACCCTCACCACACCAGCACCTCCTCTCATATTCAAATCAGACGCAAAGCCTCCAGTTGCGTCAATAATCTGTGCGGAAAGAGCAGCTTCTGTGACCTCCCCAACCCAGCCGGAACCCACACCCTCCACGCATTTGGTCAGCACTCTATGGCTGTGGTATGCCAGCTCTGCGGCTATATTCACACTCTCTATAAGCAACTCCACGTTCACTCTCCTGGTTCCCCCAAACTTGCTCCCCGCGAACCTGCTGCCCATCCTTCTGCCACTGAACCTTCCAGTTTCCCCTTTTCCAATTCCTCTACCCTCCACATTCTCGCTGCGCCTACCCTCTCCCTCCTCCTCCACCTCTTTCTCTTCCTCCTCATCCCCTTCCTCCTCATCCTCATCGCCCCCACCCCACATCCACTCTGCCTCTACCTTCTTGGCATGAGCCAAAGGCTTCATTGCTGCATGTCTCTCAAAGAGCAGATGCCTGGCTTTGGGAGGGCCCCTACTGCCAATCACCCCCCCCTTGCTGCTGCCATCCATTCCCAGTGCTTCCCAAGAAGCTTCCAATTCTAGCCGCCCGGCGTGCCGGGCAGCCTCAGAAGCCAATCGGAACGCTCCTCCAGCTGCCCGAGCGAGATCCTCCTCTGCTGTAACTGCCCCAAATTTTCCGCTCCATTTCCCGCTCCATCCCCCCCTTCCGTCTCCCCCTCTCCCCCTCGCCTTATCCCCCATACAAGCAGCCTCGGCCACTTGTAACTCAGCTATATGGCCCTGTAGCTTACGGGCGAATAGCGTCGCGCCATCTGTCATCGCGAGGAAGAACCTAGGAGCTCCACAGCCCTGGTTGGCAGCTTGCTGCAGCACAGCTAAGTGGCTCTTGAGTAAGTGTGAGAGGCGAGTGGCTCCCTGCACTAACGAGATGAGTCGCTCCTGTGTGCCTGATGGGAGCAACAACAATCAAGGGAGGAGTGTTAGAGAAGCGGACAGTTGTTAATTGAATGTTCCGGTAAAAAAAGTTTACACACTCACATACACACACTCACTCACCCCCTCCCACCGGCATGCCACAACCAGAGCGATTGCACGCACTACAGTGTGAGCCACCGCTGCCTAAGTGCTGCTCCTGTAACATGCTCACTCATTCACCCAATCCCACACCCACACAGTCAGCCGCTCACACTCTCACACATCTCAATCACCCTCGGATTGCAGGCCAAGTGCCAAGAGAAAGAGCAAGCTGCGGAGCATGCAGGACAGCGTGAGCCACCACTGCTGCTGCTCGCGCCGTCGTCACTGCCGGGAGAAGCTGTGAGAGTCTCAACATGCTTGCATTGCATGCCTTCACTCGCATTCATACGCACAAATGCATACCCACACCACACGCTTTCCCTCTCACCAGCGGATTGCAGGGCAAGGAAAAGAGCTGCCACTGTTACATGCTCATCACTCACCCACTCATGCACTCGCTTTGCACTCACCAGCGGATTGCGCGCCTAGGGAAAGAGTGATCTCCAGAGAAAGCGCATGCACCATAGTGTGAGCCACCACGGTTGCTGCTCCCGCCATCGCCACTGCAGGAAGAAGCTGGGCTGACGACCCTGCACTGCCAGCTGTAGCAGCAGATATAGCCGACGCATCAGCTGCCCTCACAGCGTCAGATGAAACCGCACCAGCAGGAGCAGCACCAGTAGTAGCAGCGACAGCTGTAGCAGCAGAGCCTATAGCAGCAGGAATGGCTGTAGCAGCAGCATCCGAGACCAGCGACTGTAGCACGGAGAGCAGTGCAGAGGCTTGCCCGGCCAAGCTAGAGGCTGTAGCAAGAGCTGTAGCACCAGCTGTAGCAGAAGCATTCTCAGGGTTACTACCAGCCACATCTGCAAGATCTGTGGCATTTCCTGTCAACGCGGCAGCAGCATTGGAACAAATGGAAGCACAGAGATCGCCAAAGAGAACAGGCCGAGAAATTCCCCCATCCAGAAACGGCTCCTTGACTTGTTCTCCCTCTTTTCCTCCTTCTGTCTGCTCCCCTCCTCCTCTCTCCCCTCCATGACTATCCACTAGCTCGCCCCTTTCCTCCCGTTTTCTACCTTGTCCCGAACTTTTGTGGTCGGATAATGGGGATGGTAGTGGGAAGGGCATGTTGTGATGGAGCAAGGACAGGAGGGTGACCTCTGCTGCTGCTGATGCTGCTGCAGAGGCAAGAGGGGGGACAGGGGTGTGGGAACCAGCATCGCCAGTAGCAGCAGCAGAACCGTCACTATCCCAAGCGTACACCCATCCACAGCAAAGCTCCTCCTCCCCTTCCAATCCCAACCCGTCACCACCCTTGCCGCTTCCTTCACTCCCTCTGCCGTCCCTTCCGCCCCTACTCTTCCCCCGGCTCCCCCAATTCCCCTTCTTTCCCCCACCAGTCTCCCCCCACACCTCCGCCACAGCACCCCCCAGCCTCAAGAGGCAGCGCAGCAGCAGCGCAGACACCACAGGAACAGCTGCTGCTGCTGCTATAGGCAGATGGGGTTTAAAGGGTCTCAGCAAGGGGATAGGCGCGGCTGCTGCATCAGTGGCAGAGTGGGCATGTGCAAGCCCCCTGTCATGGGAATGGGAAAGCACATAGAGCTGACTCAGCCGAGTGCGGATATCGGCCATGAGAGAGAGGGCCTCAGAGCACAGGCTAAGCCACGACACACAGAGAGTGCGTGCTGCTGTCACGGCACTGCCACTGCTGCCACTGCCCTGTTTGCTCCACACAGAGAGCCCTTGCTGTGGGGGGGACAGTGGGTTGTGATGCTGCGGTTCAGAAGCCCTCCCGTGCCCGTGTGCCTGTGCAGGGACTAGCAGGCCCATAGCAGCTTCTAGCTGCTGCAGGCGAGAGGTCAGCGAGGCGGGCAGTAGAGGCAGGGTGGGTACGACTGGAGCAGGGCAGTCTGAAAAGGAAGAAATGGGGGATGCAGCATTGGTGGAGGGCCGGTGCATGCCACAAAAGAAGGAGAAGAGAACTTTCAGCAGCCTGAGAGACAAAGCAGCGACACAACCCACGCTGTTCACTGCTGCTGCTGGTCCTGCTGCTGCTTCTGCTCCTGTAACACTTGTAACATCGGTAACACTTGTAACGCCTGACTTCCCTTTACCTGTTCCTTGTATGAGCCAATGTGAGTGAGTCACCAGCTCTTGCCCTGCATCCAGCAGCCAATACGCAAGTGCCACGTCAGCACCGGCAGGATCAGTGCAGGCAGCATGGCGGAGGCATGCGTCTGCCAGCCTGGCTAGCTGCGTGTCCAGGTCAGCTGCCACATCAGCAAGGGCAAGGGCGAGTGAGTGGACGGTGGCATGTTGCTGACTCAGCACAGCAGCAGGCAGGGCTGCAGAAGCTGGTGATGCATCAGGAGCAGGTCTGGGATCATCAGGGGAGAGAAGCAGAAGCGCTTGCAGGAGAGAAGCAAGGAGGGAAGAGGAGGTCACAAGCCTGGCTGCAGTAGCTGCTGCTGACACGACCAAGTGACTGGTGGTGGGGGAGGAGAAGGAAGGTTTGTTGGACGATGCTGACGATAAGGAAAGCCCAGGGATAGCAGCAGGAGGAGGAGGAGGAGGTGCGAATGGGATGGAGAGGCGGTGGAGGAGAGAGGAGGCACGGTGACGCAGAAGCAGAGCAGAGCGGCGGATAGAGGACCTTTCCACTCTGCACACCAGCACCCCTGCTCGTGACTCTGGTACAGAGTCACATGCACCTCCCCCAGACACAGCCTCCCCTGAGCCATGAACCCTGCTTTCAGCCTTAGCTGCACATATCTCTGTTGCTCTGTCTTGCGTTGCTTGGAGCAGCAGCGAGTGATGAAACTGAGCCTCCTCAACCAGTGCTGCCAGCAACAAGAAGTCATCCTCACATGCTGCTTCAGCCCCATGATTTGAACAGTCCATACCGCCATAATTTACAAAATCCACACCACCCCTGCCATAATATTCGCAGCTGTTTTCTGTTGGATACCCGCCCTGCCATCCCTTCTGCTGCCTCCTGTTGCTGCTTCGGTGCTTCTTTGCCTGCAACAGCATCCGAAGCTGCTTGGAAGCTTCCACCACCAACCCTTCCGCCTGCAGAAGCAGGCCTTGCCAGGCGTCACCAGACGGCACAGCTGCTGCTGACTCAGCGAATCTGACACACGACTCAGCATACGCAGCCGCCAGCTCAGCCAAATCAGCGCGCTGACTCAGCACACCAGTGGTAGACTGCCACGCTGCACTGTCCACCTCATCCTTGTGCCTATCCTCAGTATGAAACAGCCCATTCCTCTCCGAAAGAGCATGGACACCGGTGGTAACCCCAACCTCATCAGTCGTTTCTTGGGACCGCTGCAATTCAGCCTGAATCAGCAAGTCGCGTGCCAATTCCCTAGCTGCTGCCCCCTGCACTAGTAGCCCCTTCACCGCCCCATCCACCTCTCCACTCTCTTCCCAACCACCTGCCCTTCCACCCTCTGTCTGGTACTGCTGCTGCTGCTCCAGCTCCCCTGCGAGTGCAGCCATTCCTCCTGACCACCGCACCAGCCACGCAAAGCCAGCAGCAAAGCGCGCAGCAAGACCACCATCAGCGGTAATCTCAGCAGCAGCAGGCAGGCTAGCAGTGAACCTTGGGTCCGCCGCTCCGTGGCCTTGCACCACTTCTCCGTCCCTTACAGCCTGTGTTTTGTGCCACGAACCCTCACACTCCCTCCCTTCCTCAGGTTCACTTTCCGCCGCAAAATCAGGTACTCTGGCTGTCCAATGCGACAGAAACATCTGGCCCAGCTGAGCTGCCCGGAAAAGAATTTTGCTGAGCAAGAACCCCTGCCTTGCCCTCCCCCTGCCCATCCCTCCTCTCAGCAGAATCGCACGCCCATCAGAAGGCAAGTACCAAGGTAGCACCAGCATCTCAGTGTTGTGAGCCAAATGCAGAGCCAGACCCGCAGCAGCAGCAGCAGCAGCAGCAGCAGCAGCAGCAGCAGCAGCAGCAGCAGCAGCAGCAGCAGCAGCAGCAGCCCGTTGCTCACGTCTCACATGTCTCTTGTCAATGTGACCACCTGCCAGTTCACCCAAGAGACCACCTTCCCTGCTTCCCCCTTTCACTTCCCTGCCTCCCTCCTTGCTTTCGTCGATAATCAAGACCCCCTCTGGCACCGACTGATCCTGTTGCTGCACCTGCTTCTCCTGCATCTCCCGCCCCTGTTGCTGCTGCAGGAGCTGCAGCTCCCCTTGCCTTCTCTCAACGCCCTTCATCAGTCTTAAGTGCCTCTCTGCAGCATGCAGTAGCGAATCTGCTGCTGCTTGCACCCCGTCCTCTTGCTCCTCCTCACCCCCCTCCCTTCTCCCTTCTCCTCCTCCCTCTCTTCCCTCTCCCCTTGTCTCCTCCGCTCCTTCAAACTCTTCCCCAATCACCCTACCTGCAAGCATGGCAGCAGCACGAATCACAGCAGCACAGCTCCTCCCTGCCTTTCTCAGAAGCTTCCCACCCCACCGCACACCACCCATCTCCCTGCCCAAACCGCTGCCGCCCTCCCTGCAACCGCCCTCCTCTGCTACAAGACAAAAATGCCGGACAGAAGCCGCCACAAGACTCAGCGCAATCTGGGCGGCGTCACTCTGGCTGACGACAAAATTTCCGCAGATTCTATTATCTGCGGATTTTATTCCCTCCCGCCGCAGATCGTCAGGTGTGGTACCTCTGTTATAATCAACTCCTTTAATCAACCTGCCCACCCCATCTCTCACTTCATCCAAGAAACTTGCAGCCCCCCGTACAAGCACACTCGTTTCTGTCACAGGCGCCCCAGCAACCACACGCCCTGCCTCCTCCCCCTTCATTGAACCCTCCCTGTCTCCTCTACCCTCCTTCCCTCCTGCTGCTCCCACACCCCCTGACCTTTCCCTCTTTCCCTTCATCAAAATTCTTTCTCTCCTTCCCTTCACCCCTGAATTCTCTCGCCGCTTCCCCATGACAGGCGCCGCCTCACAAGTCACCTCCTCAACGTTTGCCGCAGCCTCTATCGCTCTCACCATGCCTGCCACTGCCACCAGCCCTGAGAATCCCAGGGAAACGAGCATATCTTCTGTGTGAGAAGGTGAGTGACGAGCCTTCGTTTCAGCCAGCCCACAAGTCTTCTGCGCCTTCACAGCAGTGCAGTCTTTTTGTTGAGACAGCTCGAACCACAACTGCATTGCATTTATTGTTCTGAGCAGCTTGTCACACACCACCTCACACTCTGTCACACTCACACTCCCCTCTAACCAGTCAGATCTACTTATGCTCAATCCTTTGTGCGTTTCCTCTTCCCTGATCCCCTCTTCTCGCGTCCCCTCCTCTCCCGTGCTCCCCTTCCCCTCTTGCCAGCCCCAGAACCCTGCAATTGCGTGCAGAAGCTTCCTGTAAGCTTCCACCAGGGTGCGAAGAAAAGAAAGCCGGAGCTGGAGGGTAGTGACAACAGCCGAACCTGCTGTCGACGACAACAGCGTCTCTTCCCTAAAACAATCAATGCCCCAGCTCTTGACAACTGCTGCAGCCTCTACAGCAGCAGCAGTATGGCGCTGCAGCAGCAGCCATCCCGAGAGCAGCAGGTGAGACACCCAGTGCTTCGGAGCAGGAAGCAGTGGCTTCTCTTTCTCCTGCTGCTGCTGCTGCTTCTGATCCTGTTGCTCCTGCTCTCCCTGCTGCTTCTCCTGCTCCTGCTGTTTCTGCTCGTGCGGCTGCTCCTGGTCTTCCTCCTCCTCCTGCTGCTTCTGCCTCAAACGTGGCTTCAGCAGCCCTCCGATTGTTTCTGCCGCTGCTGCAACAAGCACCATTCCGTCTCTAGCAACATCCGCAGCTGCTGCTGTTGCTGTTGCCGCCGCTGCTGCTGCTCCTGCATTCTTTGCCGCTCCTGCATTCTTTGCCGCCGCTGCTGCTCCTGCAGCACATATCTTCACCCCATGTGCAGCAGCCCGGTCCCTAAATGCCGCTGCCGCCGCCACTGCCGATGACGACGGCACAACTGCTGAAGGATGAGCAGTGTCAGGCATTGTATAGGCTTCAGAAGTAGCATCAGGAGCAGCAGCATAAGGAGCAGCAGCAGGCGGGACACAGCCACAGAGAAGCTCAGCACTTTCTATCAGGCAGAACAGAGACGTCATCCCCTGCTGCTGTCCTCTATTCACCCCCAGCTGCCCTCTGTTCGCCCTCTGGGCAAGTGGTTCTTGGAAACCCTTCTCCCTGCCTCCTCCCTGTGTCTCTAGGCCCGCACTCTCTGCCTGCTGGTTTGCAAGAGAGAGGCAGCGATCCACCAGCAGCGCTGCATGCTCTGAGGCAGCTTCTAGCAGCTTCCCACTTCGATCCCACAATTCTGCCTGGCTCTGCCTCTCCTCCTCCCCCTCCTCTTCATCCTCTCCTTCCAGGTCCTCCTCTTCGCCTTCTACCCATCCTCCTTCCTTCTCATCCTCTTCCTCCTCTTCCTTGTCCTCATCCTCCTCCTCCTCGTCCTCTTCGTTTCCAACACTCACTCCCTCCTCCACCTTTCCCTGTTCCCTCACACTTCCCTCTCTCTCCACATCTCTCACCCTCCTCCTCGCCTCCATAACTCTCAAAACGCCTGCCACCAGAAACAGCAGATTTTCCAACCTTCTTGCACTTTCTGTTGGCCCTTCTGCAATCACACCGCCTACAGTCACACCACCTACAACCAGACCGCCTGTCACACCGCCTACATTTACGCTGCGTGCTGTCACACCGCCTATAGTCACATCGCTCACAGTCACACCCTCCTCCCCTATTCGTCCTCCCACTGTATGCTGCTGACTCAGCAGCAACAGATGCTGCTCTGTCAGAACCACCAGATTCTCCAGTGCCAGGGTTACACCTGTCTCTGGAACAGTTCCACCTGTCCCTGCTTGGGTTACATCTGTCCCCCCCAGGGTTACATCTGTCGCGGACAGTCTCAGCACATCACATTCTGCAACCTCACACTCAAGCCTTTCTAAGAGACTCATAAGAAGCTTGGCCTTCGTTACAATCACCTCCCCCTGCTTGCACACCTGCTGCCAGCTCGGCACCTTATCGTCTGTAGTATCCACATCATCCACATCAGCAGCCACATCAGCAGCCACATCAGCAGCCACATCAGCAGCCATATCAGCACCCGCACCTATTCGTTTCACTCTGCTCTCCGCCTCCTCCATGCCTCTTCCCTTCTCTCCCTCATCACTCCGTGTGGTAACCCTATCCACCAGAGCCCCCTCTACAGCCATATCAACATCCTCCCGGTGCTCAATCACGTCCCTCCACAATGCCGAGGCTGCTACAATCACCTCCCTTATATGCACCTTCTCGCTGATCACCCCCTTTACAGTCACATCGCCACCAGACACATCCTCAGCAGCACTCACATCCTCTACAGTCCCATCTGCCTGCCCTCTGCTTTCGATCACCCCTTCAGCTGCCGTTACAGCCACGTTCTCTCCAATCACATCCTCCCCATTCACATCCTTTTTAGTCACATCCTCCCCACTCATCTCTTGCACACCTGCTGCATCATCTAGCACCTGCTGAGTTGCCTCTTCTCCCTCCATACAGTCACCCTCTGTAGAATCAACCACAAGCACCTCTGCGGAATTCAATTGCACCTTACCAGTTTGTGCCGCTTCTTCTCCCTCTGTACAGTCACTCATAGGCCAGAGCGACCCACCCACAGCAGCAACCATACCCCACGGGTCCATCCCACCTGCCCCAGACTCACCTTCCCCAGACGCACCTCCCCCCTCCTCCTCCTCCCCATCCCCAAACAAATCAAATCCGATAAAATCCGATACAGTCGTGATGATTGCTAGATCTACCTGCAGTTTACTGTAGCCTCCCCGAGAGCGTGGACGAGGGGGAGTGGCGAGGCGAGGAGGGGTGAAAAGATGGGGAAGGGTGGGGAAGTGGGGAGGAAGGACGACGTCAGCCATTGGATCAAGCAGAGATGCCGATGGAGCGTCAGGATCGCTGCGCGATCGTGCCATTAATTGGATGGCTTTGTTGCTGCTGCTTATGCACTTGAACGAGTTTGACTGTATGCGATTGGGGAGCACGATGCGAGGGGATCCGAGTCGAGACAAGAGAAGAGCGTCCTCGTCTGTTTCTTGCTGCTGAGAACCACCAGTGGCTGCAGCAGAGGCAGCAGCAGCAGAGGAGGCAGCAGCAGCAGAGGAGGCAGCAGGATCAGCAGGTGGGTTTTGAGGTGCTTCAAGAGAGAGGAGAAGAGCATCCTCGTCCGCTTCTTGCTGCTGAGAATCATCAGTGGCTGCAGCAGAGGCAGCAGCAGCAGAGGAGGCAGCAGCAGAGGCAGCAGCAGAGGCAGCAGCAGCAGAGGAGGCAGCAGCAGAGGCAGCAGCAGAGGCAGCAGCAGAGGCAGCAGCAGCAGAGGAGGCAGCAGGGGCAGCAGGCGAGTTTTGAGGTACTTCAAGAGAGAGGAGAAGGGCGTCTTCGTCTGCTTCTTGCTGCTCCAAACCAGCAGCAGCAGCAGCAGTGACAGCAGTGGTGGTTGCACAGGTGGCAGCAGCAGGAGAAGCAGGAGCAGAGGAGGCAGCATTGGCAGCAGGCTTAGGGGATGTAGGCTCGGCAAAGGCGGGCTTGGGGGAGGAGAGCTTGGGGGAGGTGGGCTTCGGGGAGGCAGGCTTGGAGGAGGCAGGCTTGGGGAGGCAGGCTTGGGGGAGGCAGGCTTGGGGGAGGCAGGCCTGGGGGAAAGAAGCGTGGAGGAGGGAGGCTTGGGGGAGGTAGGATTGGGGGAGGTTGGGACAGGGGCTGTGGGAAGGACTATGGACACGCCCCTTTTGGCTGATGAAGCCCGGGGCGAGGAGGCTAGAGGGCGTTGGAGGGAGGGTGACCTGGGGGAGGCTGGGGGAAGGTTGGCGGAGACACCTGAGGGGGATGGGGGAGGGAGGGAGGGGGACCTGGGGGAGGCTGGGGGGAGGGAGAGTGTGGGAGGGGCTCGAGACGACAGTACCTTAGGTGAGTGGGCTTCCAACGAGAAGGACGTTAACAGACTTGCTTTAGGAGACCGTGGTTCGAGAGATGGAGGTTTCGGAGAAGGCACTCTTAACGAGGATGGCTTTGAAGAGGATATCGACTTGCGGGGATGCTTGGTTGATGACCTTGCTCGGGAACTAGCAGCAGCGCCAGCGCCAGCGCCAGCAGCAGCGGCAGCAGCGCCAGCAGAGGCAAAGGCATTCCCACCCCACCCTGCACTGAATTTTGCATCAGGCTGGCTGGGCCTGGGACTCCTGGCGAAGCAGGAGAAGCTGCCAGTAAGCATCAGATCATCATCACCACCCCCGCCACCATCATTCTCCTCGGCCTCCCTTTGCCCTCGGCTTCCCTGCCCTCCCTCCCTCTCATCTCCTCCTTGTGCGTTCTCCTCACCCGTCAGTGCTCGCTTCCTCTGCACCACAGCACCATTTCCCCGCATCACCAAGCCACTGTCTCTCTGCATGCCTTGCACCGGCCTACTGCTGCTGGGGCTAGCCTGGCCCTCCGCCTCCTCATTCCTCCCCTCCTGACCCTCCTTGCTTCTTTCCTCATCCTCCCCCTTACTCCTTCCCTCCCCCTCCCCCATGCACTCATGCTCCAGCACACCCAGCAGGCTCCCCTTCCCCTCCTGCCTGGCCTTCACCCCAGCACTCGCAGGTGCAGCGCCGCTGCTGACAACATCCGCGTCAGTAGCATCCCCGTTAGAAACAACATCCCCTTTAGAGACATCCCCTTTCGTGACATCTCCCGAGCTCCTCACTCGTCGCAGCTTCATTGCAAACAGGTACGTGCCACCACCACCCTCCCCCTCACCAGACGAAATCAGAGGCGCGTCTAAATTCACATACGTGCCCCCGCCCTCCTTTCTATCGCCCCCTCCGCCCTCCCCTGTACCTGCATTACCAATAGCACGTACGGGCTGCTCCATCTGACGTTCCTTATTAGCTTCCTCCGCTCCAGAGTCAATCACAACCGTTGGTCCTCTGCTTACACCATCCCCATCGCCCACACCTGCTGCTTCCGGAGCTGTTACTACCTGCGCCTTCGAGCCTCTTCTCTTCTTTTCACCCCTAGAGAACTCGGCCTCCACGTCTCTTCTCCAGCTCTTGGCTCGGCGCTCCGGGTCAACCTCCCAGGTTCGGACGACAGGTCCGTCTCTCCCCGAACCTACTCTCCCAACCTCTCCCTCAAAACCCGCCCCTGCTTCAGCCTCGCCAGGGCTGGCCCGGACCACACCACCGAAGCTACCTGCCTGGTCTGTACATCCCGAACCTAAGCCTGCTGGTTCCCCTGTATCCTGTTGTGCAGCTCCGGGATTTTTCACCTCCCCTGAACCAGCCTTGGGATTGTCAGCCTTCCACGAGGCGCCCTTGGGATTGTCTAGATGCACTGAATCCGCGGAGCAGGCTGTAGCAGGGTTGCTGTGAACAGGAGGAGGAGGACCGTTTGTGCTTAAGCTCCCAGCATGAGGATCTGACGTGGCATCCGATGTGGCGCCAGCGTGCCTTGCAAGCTCGCAAGCCGGATTATTCAGAAGATATGTCTCTGTAGGTAAAGGAGCTGAGTCTGGCGCTGCTGTTGCTGTTGCTACTTCTGTATCTGGTCCAGCCGCCTTACTATTAGATGAGCGCTCATCTAATGTGCACTCCAAACCCCGCCCTTTCTCTCGCGGCCCCATCCCATCTTCCTCCTCACCTCCCTTCCGCCCTTCTGTTGCTCGCCCCTCTACCTCACCCTGGGATGCCCCAATAGCTGTTCCTTTCACCTCCCCTCCTCTCAACGCCCCAATATCTGCTGCCTTTACTCCTGCGGCCTCAGACGCTCTTTCTACCCCAATCCTCCCTGCCGCTCCAACTTCCGCTGTTGCTCCACTCTCCCCCGTTTCCCCAGCCTCCCCCGCTGCCCCAACATCCCCCGCTGCACCAGCTTCTCCAGATGACCCCTTGTGTCTGTGTGTCTTGCTCTTGGACTTTCGCTTGTGCGAACTCTCTACCTCGTCAATGAACACGTCCAACAGGTCCTGGCGAATTAGGGTTACCACACAAAAAGGTCGCGAATTCAATCAATGTTGCACAGCTGCTCAGCCCGAAAGGTTGGAATAGAAACAAGAGCAGGAACATACTATACCAGACGTGGCGAAACACGATAAAAAGCATGCCACATACCAGAGAAACTCGCAAATCAAGTATGAGACGTAACATAAAATTAAGGAGACTCGTAATTCGTTGATACAAATCACCCCACGAACCTTTACTGGCTGCGATCCTGCCATCTGTCCCATCGCTCCTCCCAAGCCTCTGGACGGAGCTGGTCCTGACCGCCGAGCCTGGAGGCTCGGCGACTGCGCGGTGGCTCGGGAAGACTGCGACGTGGTTCGGGAGATGGTGCTGCTGTCGTATTCGGTACTACTATCGAGGTCCGGGGCTTCCATGCCTCTGCTGCTAACGCACCCCATTGGTGGCATCTTGGCGACGGGATGCCACGTGGCATAGGAAACGATTGACCTCGAGTTGCAGGCAGCGGGTGCCACGTGGCAGAGAATGGATCAGGTTGAGTTACGAACTTATACGGGCTGTTAGGTAGGCGACTTCTTGCAGCAAAGCAGGTATTGCGCCGGCATTGTACCATACACGAACTCGCTTACACCCGCCATTGTGAAAGTAGCACGGTAGACGAATGGTGAGTAGACGAATGCGCGACGCCGGCTTTGTCAGACCGAAGCTCTAGGTCGCACGAATGCGCGATGCGGTATTGTTCCTAGCGACAGCCGCGCGAACGTCGCTCACTGGCAAATGTCGCAAAGAGGCCTACCGTCAGTTATTGATCTGGAACCGTCACTGCGGCCACGGCGAATCGCGGAATGACTCGCTGCTGCTAGAGAGCCGGTCTGGTTAGTGTCTCCTAATCAACGCCGTTACTTTCACTACTGATACAAAATTACGGAGGGTGTTAGCACCAACAGCTGAACAAAATTACAGCCCTCGTGTGATGTGGGGGAAATTTGAAATTACACCCTCCAATCGGAGAACCTGGAGAATCTCCTCAAATTTCGCACATCCCATGCAGTTGATGGCATTGCCGACAACATCCAGGACAGTGGCTTGCAATAAACTTCAAATGTTATAATAATAAACCCAACTAACGCGTCGGTGTAGTTTAGTGGTTAGAATCCCACGTTGTGGCCGTGGAGACCTGGGCTCGAATCCCAGCACCGACATCTTTTGCGCAGTTCAGGATGGAGAGGGTACTGCCATTGTAATTTTTGCCATAATTCCACCATCTTCCACCCTTGTTATTCTACTAAGGGTCCTCTTCCAGTGTGACTTTGCTTGTCTAGCGTATTCTTTGTTTTTATTCTTCACGAGAACCTGTTTCTTCTTCCCATTCACTCAGCAAGCAATCCAGGAGCCTGCTTCAGGGTTGCGTCGAAACTAAGGGTTCATTCCGCTCTAGACATGTCCCAATCGATTCCACCGCACTGCATCTTATTACACTGAATTACACCCTAGTTTCAAACATTGTCAAGATTTTCGCGTCTCTGGTTTAGTTCGGTTCGGAGCGGTACACCCGATTGGGAGATGTCCAGAGCGGAATATACCCTAAGCATTGTGCTATGTCCAATCTAGCAATCGAAAACTACGCGTGAGCTTCACAAAGACATATAGAAATTATCAGCTTGTAAGTGAAATGCATACTTCCAAATAATAAAAGCTGTTAAATTAGTAGTTTAACAGCATACAAATAGGTTTGTGCATGGGAAGAGTAATTGCTGTAGCTTCTCTGAAAGGGGCACCGAACTCGTACCCCAGCTTTGCTGCAGCAAATCCCCTTCATACTCAGTTCCACGATTATCATTAGTCGCTTCTACGTATGGCAGCAACGTGGTCGAAAGAAACACTTCCCGCACACGACTTTTCCCGCCAAGAGCCGAACCGCCACACGGACCTCTACTCCGATTCCCGCTAATCCGAAATATCCAACCACGTCCCAGACCAACTACCCTGCTTGCGGTTCGGCTCCAGCGTGTCAGCGGGGGAAATTGGAAGGTTTCGAGGAAAACTGTGATTCGGCGTGGTGTGGTGTGGCGGAGGGAAACGGTGGATTTGGCCCCAGGTGAAGTTTCAAACCAGGGCTTTCGTGTGCGGCGAAATGAGCTCCCCAGCGTTGTAGAACGGTCAATTTAACCTTCCGACTGGCCTGGTTGGGAGGTTGGGGGTTTGAACAAAATTGAACATACTAAAAACAGCAATAAGCGAAGACATCAAGTTGTTGTAGATTGCTGCGTCTTGCCCTCACATCACATCCAGGAGCATCAGTTCTAGCTGCCCCACCATCACGAGTCTTGTTTAGCCGTCCCTGGCACGGAACAGTTTTGAGAACACACTGCAGAAGCCCAAGCCTGTATCTATCCCCTCTCAAGCTAATAACTCAGTGAACCATCCTCCCTCGCTTCCTAACTCGTCCGTGTTCTTGGCCCTCGGATCTGACTTTCCAAAATTCTCACTTCCGCAAGTTATTACGTACTTTGCCGTCGCCACGTCGCCATGAAGCAACGATCGCATACCGCGACGTACCTCGCGCTCCTGGTTGTCGCGTCGTGCCTCGTCAGCTTCGCCGCGGCGCAATGTGGGGCCGTGTGCACCGTTCCCGGCACCAATCTCATGAACAATGACTGCGTTGTCCAGTGCAACGTGAGAAGCTCACTCCGTCCCATATCTTCCTCCTCCCTTTCCTCCTCATTCTGTCCACTTTATAAAGCCGACTCATAACTCGTCCTCCGGTTGCACCACGGGCTCGTTAACTCCGACTCGGACTGCGTACCTCCCGCTCGCCTCCCCAACAGAACTGCGCATACCCTCGCCTTTAGGGATGTGCCACGTAGCTTTTTCGTGCTCTCTATTCCCCTTTCTTCGCCTCGCCCCCGCCGCTTCCCCCCTCTCTCCTCTCCCCCCTCCCTCCCCCATACAGACGTGCGCGTACGCGACACTTTACGGATGTTCCACTTATCCACACCGCTCTCTCTCCCCATCAGTTTGCCTCCCCCCCGCCTCTCCCCCGCCTCCCTTCCGCCTCCCTTCCGCCTCCCCCCCGCCTCCCTTCCGGCTCCCCCCCTTTCCTTCCGCCCCCCTCCCCCCACAGAACTGCGCGTACGCGACACCCTACGGATGTGCCACCTACTTCCAGCCCTTCTGGAACTCCGGTGGTGAGTGTGACTGGATAATGTATGAATAGATCATAGCGAGTATGGAGTTTACGCAACACTCTACGGATGTGCCACTTACTTACAGCCCTTTTGGAACTCCGGTGGTGAGTGTGACTGGATATAATGTATCGATAGATCGTAGCTCGTCAAAAACTCGGAATATCGCACGAAGTATAGCCCGTAAAGGACGCGTATTGCGTGCAGCAGGTGGTGATTCAAAGGAAGATATACTATATGGTGTGCAGGTGAGTGTAACGAGAATCAGATGATAATAGGGTGCAGTAGTAGCTCCAAGTCGCCCGTATCCCCCCCATCTCCCCGCTCTCCCACACGCCCCACTCGTTTTTTAGACGCCTCAACACTTTCTTCTGAAACGTCTCAACACTAATCTTTGTGACGTCTCGAATTGAAACCTCATGCTTCAATCAAATGCCCGATTCCCTCCCTGCACTCTCTCACCTTCCCACTGGGAGTGAGTAACTGGCACTTACTGTCCTCCAGTCGAATTTGAGATCTCTCACATTCGATTTCGAAACGTCTCGAAACAAAAAACTGGTGCTCCAATCAGATGCCCGCTTCCCTCCCTGCACTCACTCACTCGCCGTCCTTCCATCCTCGTGTGAATGCGGTTGCTACCCCACATTCCCCATCACACCCCTCCCTCTTTCCCCTTCAGTTATACAGCTTTCTCCCCTCCACCCCTTTCAGCCTAGGTGCCTGCTGCAGCTACTCATGCTCGTTGAAACACCGCACAGCACTCCCCTCACATTTTCCCATCAGCTCCTCCATCTCTCCCGTTTCTTTAACTCCACCCCTCTCAACCTACGTGTCTGCAGCTGTTCGTCCTCGAGCGGCCTTGCTTGGTTGTCCCGCCTGCTCATTCTAACCCACATTCCGTATCAACTCTTCAGACTTTCCCATTCTTCTGCTCCCGTTCCCCTTACCCACCCACCCACCCACCCCTCTCAGCCTACGTGTCTGCAGCTGTTCGTCCTCGAGCGGCCTTGCTTGGTGGTCCCACCCACCCACCCACCCACCCCTCTCTACGTGTCTGCATCCTACTCGTGCTCGAGCGCGCTTGCGTGATCGTTCCTACGCCACACATCACGATCTGGTTTTTGAGAATTCTCGCTGGTTTTTGAGAATTCTCGCTTGTTTTTGAGAATTCTTGCTGGTGTTTGAAAATTCTCGCTGGTTTTTGAGAATTCTCGCTGGTTTTTGAGAATTCTCGTTGGTTTTTTAGAATTCTCGCTGGTTTTGAGAATTCTCGCTGGTTTTTTTAGAATTGTCGCTCGTTTTTTAGAATTCTCGCTCGTTTTTGAGAGTTCTCGCTGGTTTTGAGAGTTCTCGCTGGTTTTTGAGAGTTCTCGCTGGTTTTTGAGAGTTCTCGCTGGTTTTTGAGAGTTCTCGCTGGTTTTTGAGAATTCTCGCTGGTTTTTGAGAATTCTCGCTGGTTTTTGAGAATTCTCGCTGGTTTTTGAGAATTCTCGCTGGTTTTTGAGAATTCTCGCTGGTTTTTGAGAATTCTCGCTGGTGTTTAAGTATTCTCGCTGGTTTTTGAGAGTTCTCGCTGGTTTTTGAGAATTCCCGCTGGTTTTTTAGAATTCTCGCTGGTTTTTGAGAATTCTCGCTGGTTTTTGAGAATTCTCGCTGGTTTTTGAGAATTCTCGCTGGTTTTTTAGAATTCTCATAAACCAGCTCACATCACAATCACTTGACTCTTTCCTCTCCACCCGTCCCACCCCCCTCCACCCTCATTCTACCCTACGTTTCTGCAAGCTGCAGCTACTCGTGCTCCAGCAGCCTTGCCTGGTGGTCCTGGCTGCTCGTTGCTGCACCGCACGTCACTCCTCATACTTCCCATCGACTCCTCTGTCTCTCCACTTCACCCATTCCGCTTCCCCCTTGCCCCCTCTCAGCCTATGGTCTGCAAGCTGCAGCTACTAGTACTCCAGCGGCCTTGCCTGGTGGTCCTGGCTGCTCGTTGCTGCACCGCACGTCACTCCTCATACTTCCCATCGACTCCTCTGTCTCTCCGCTTCACCCGTTCCGCTTTCCCCTTGCCCCCTCTCAGCCTACGTCTCTGCAAGCTGCAGCTACTCGTGCTCCAGCGGGCTTGCCTGGTGGTCCCACCTTCTCATTCCCACCGCACAGCACTCCTCACATTTCCCCATCAACTCCTCCCTCTATCTCTTCCCCTCCCTCCACCCCTCTCAGCCTACGTCTCTGCAAGCTGCAGCTACTCGTGCTCCAGCGGGCTCGCCTGGTGGTCGTGGCTGCTCATCAGTTTCGCGATTCTCTTTGTCTCTGTAGGGGTGGGCTTCGGGGTCTATGTGTGCCTGCGCTCTGCCCGCAGCTGATTCCAAGAGCACTGCTGAATGTGCGTGCTGCGGGCTTGCCTGGTGGTCCTGGCTGCTCATCGGTCTCGCCATTCCCTTAGTCTCTGTAGGAGTGGGCTTTGGGGTCTATATGTGCCTTTGCTCCACCCGCAGCTGATTCCAAGGGCAGTGGGCGTAGCGGGTATATATGAGGAGGCGCCTCACAGAGCAGATCTCTCTTCATCTCTGTAGGAGTAGGATGGGGGGTTTATGTGCCTTCTCTCCGCCCGCAGCTGTTCTCAAGAGCATTGCTGTGGGCGGTAAATTGCTTCTGTGGTGTCTCAGGGGCGCCTCAGTAACATTTTCTTTACTGTCCCTGTAGCGGTGGGGTTCAAAGTTTATGTGTGCCTTTACTCACAAACAAACCTTTTATTATCTCTGACTGGTGCTGACCATGAGGCCGTGCCGTGCTTGCTGTGGGTGCAGTACAGCTATAGCAGTAGAATTGATATCTGCTAGGTTCTATGATGTTTTTCACTTGCTAGCAAAGCTGTAACACGCATCCATTGCAATAAGAGCAATCTGAGAAGCTGGCCTAGCATTTTGCATTTTGCACTCCGGATTCGAATACCGTGTATTGTGTTTTCTGACGGTCAGCCTTCCGAACGGTCAAAACTGAATCAAGTAACAAGGCCTATAGACAGAATCGCAATAAGCCTAGCCTACTACCCAATCTCGCTCCCCCCTTTTTATTTCTTCTTTGTTGGCTCACACACAGCTGTATGGTGTGTTCCTTTCTGTTATTGCAATGGCGACATCACTGCACCATATACGGTACACTAGTCAATGGGTACTACAGTTGACTCTGAATAAACTAATACATTGGAAACAAATGGAATACACGCCATGCCTACACATCCTGTCACCACACTAACTCAAGCTTGTGAAAGTTGCATTGTCTAGCAGAAGTTCATCTAGCTGCTGTGCCATAGGCCACTCAGATATGTCGTTGCCATGAAAAGACATCGACTCAAGTAATTTGTCATAGTTTGTTGTGAGCTCATCTTGAAAAGCCTCGTTTTGGAAGAGCTCCTCCTGACAGGGCTCGTTCTGAGAGAGCGCCGTTTGAGGGAGCTCGTTTTGAGAGAGCCCCTTCCCGTCCCCTTGACTGCCAGCCACGGCTGAAGGAAACAGCTCCTGTTCCCATCCTGCTGTCCCGAAGAAGACTCCATACCCACTTGAACGCTGCCCATACCCATCGACTCGACCACCACACATGCCTGTTTGATCAACACACATGGCCATTTGACCATCGTACAAGCCAACGTGAATCCCTCCCATGCTTGTTTGACCACCAGATGTACCCCTCTCCTTGCTGCAAGAATGACCGAGGAAATATGATTGGGCTTCTGGCCTGCAGGTGCGGCTGTAGCGGGTTTGGCTGTAGTGGGCGCTGTGCTGCTGTTTCCACGGCTCCTGTTGCTGCGACAACCAAGGTTGGTACATGCATCTCGGTATGAATAGGTGCAGGGAGATACTTCGGCTCATCCCTTCTGCTGCTGCTGCTGCTCCTGCCGCCGCCGCCGCTGCTGCTGCTGCTGCAGGTGCTGCTGCTACTGCCATTGGTGGTGACATAACGACGGCTTGACGCCTGGAGCTCTGAGTTCAAGCCTGCCACAGAAGCAAGTCCATGGACCTGTGCATCGATCACAGGTGACTGGTTGAAAAGACTGTAGCAATTCCGCACGTGAAAGCGAGAAAGGAGACTGTAGCGGTGGTTGCTGCGTGGCGGCTTTGCAGGTGACTGTATCGGTGATCTCGCTAACACCAAGATCCACAGGTGACTGTATCGATGGTCCTGCTGAAGCCAGAGTGGCAGGTGACAGTATTGGTGGTCCTGCTGACATCAGATCCTCAAGTGACTGTAGCGGTGATCTTGCCGAAATCAGATCTGCAGGTGACTGTAGCAGTGGCCTTGCTGAAACAAGATCTGCAAGTGATTGTATCGGGTGAGGTTCTGAAGCCAATTTTGCAGGTGACTGTAACAGTGGCCGTGCTGACACCAAATCTTCAGGTGACTCCAGCAGTGATCTTGCTGACACCAGGTCCTGCAGGTGAATGCACCGGACGAGCTGTAGCTTGATGCAGATGCGACAGGGTGTTATGGGATGGTGTGCGGTGGAAGGAGGTGTTATGCGATGGGGTGTACAGGGTTGGTGAAGGATACGATAAGCAACGCTGGGCTGGTGGCATGATAGGTCAGGGTAGACCTCTTTGGGGAGTAAGGGGTCGGCGCAGGATAGGTCGGCGCAGCGTAGGTTGGCACAGGATAGCTTGGCCAGGCCAGTGCCAACTCTTCATGCTGCATAAGCTGCAACGAATATATGCACAGGATGGGACAGGGTGTAAGATGGAGAAATGCAAGAAGAGAATCGTTGCTAGTAACAAGGCAAAGTGCCAAAAAAAAAAAAAGGGAGGTGCTCACCTCGGTCTTGATCTTGGCTGAAGGATCCAAAGGGGTAGCTCCCATAGTGTTTAGGTACGGCAGGTGCAGATTGAGCGAGTATCGAATCAGAGCAATCATTGACGGAGCAGCAGAAGAAGCCGGTCTGAGCAGCAGCAGCAGCAGCAGCAGCAGCAGCAGGAGCAGCAGGGAATGGCAGGGGTTCTGGCAGGGGCGACGCCCTGATTTGAGTGGTAGACGCAAAGGCGAGGTCCCGGTATGAATCCAATGCACGCAGCACCATTCCTGCATTAGCCACAGCAGCAGCAACACACCACCACTAACAGCAGCAGCAGCAGCAGCAGCAGCAGCAGCAGCAATGTTGGAGTCCATGCTTGCTACAACCACTGAAGCTGGAGCGTTGGCCACAGCAGCAGCATCAGCATCACCACGCCACCAGCACCACCAACAGCGCTACCAGCAGCGTTATCAGCAACGCCAGAATCCATACTTGCAGCAGGAGCTGCCCCCCCAGCGCCTGGAGCATCAACAAAGCTACTGCTGCTGCTGCACACGCCAGCGCCTTGAGCCACGGGCATGCAGGCGCTACTACTATCATCCACACCGTTCATCTGCTGCTCCAATACCTTATCCAACGGTCCTTGCTTCTGGACCATCCGTGAGAGCACGACCTCCACTCAGCCGGAGTCAACAGCTCCTCCAGCAATAGTGCAACATCAGGGCTGCTGCTCTCGCCAACCTTGGCACTTGCTGGAAACTGCCAGTCTTGCGGAAGAGCCACTGCCGAGGTTGCTGCGGCTGTTTGCGCTTCTGGGCGTGCTAGGAACGCTGAAGGTGCCAGGCCTGCTGGTTCGGTGTTTTCTGCAGGTTCTGCCAGGCCTGGCGGGCCTGCCGGACCTGCTGGGTTCGAACATTGGTTTGGGAAGCGCTGTGGCAGTCCGAGGCTGCTCCAGTGCAGCACCCTTGAGTGGCGCAGGTCGTCGCACGACAGCCGAGGGAAGAACGATGCATCGCCGCTGCCAGCAGCAGACCAAAGCGGCCCAGCAGGCAAGTGTGGAGCAGACATGGAGCTTCCAGCAGGCCAGGGCAGCCCGTCGTGGCTATACGACGATGTTCTTTGCAAGTTCCCTATAGCACAGGTGGCAGCTGAGGACCGTTGAGCAGTCACGGCTGAGAAGTGTGGGGCAGACACACAGCTGTCGGCACGCCAGGGCGGCTCATCCTGGCAGCAGCTGGCGCCGGGACTCTCCAAAGAAACGTCTGGCTCAGCTTTCACCTGCGTTGCCCTCTGCCGCTTTGAAGCCTGGTAGCTCAACTCCCCAGGCCGATACCTCAACTCCTCAAACTGCCCAGGCTGATATCTTAACTCCTGAGGCTGATTAACAACTCCTGAGGCTGAAATTCCAGCTCTTTTGGCCGATAACTCATCCGTCAGCAGCAGAGAAGCAGAACTCCATCAATTGGGAAGCCCAGTTTATCATCAGCCTGGCTTATCTCCTCTGTCTCTTTGCTAAGTGCCATAATCTGCTCATGCATGCTCCCGAAAGTTCCTCCGCTGTGCTGTGCCGGCGATTCTGTGCGAGAGGACAGCAGGCGCAAGGGCAGTGCAAGTCTCCTTGGTCACCAAGCGAGCGATAGGACGGGATAAGGTCAGTGAGTGGTTTTGACGTGCGCACAGGATCTCCTTGGGATTGTCGCCGCGGGTCTGCACCTCAGGAATGAATTGAGGGATTGTCGAGAACAGTTCACCCCATGATGCTCGTTTTTGGGACTTTCAGCCCTGCGAAGTTGCGGCATGATGAGATGGGACATGGGTGAGGTTTCAGGAGGGCAGCAAGCGGTGCTGCGTAGGCTGCTGCCCGCGTCTTGAAAAGGAGCAGCCATGGCGCTTGCTCTGACGTCGGCGCGGCGGCGGCGCTTGAGACACAACGAGGAAGGGTGGTTGTGGAAGCCTGAAGTCGTCATGCGTATCACCTTGCGCATCTCCATGCGCCGGGGGGGCGGGTGGGGCGTTCATCCTCAAGAGCGGCGCGCATCACGCATCATCAGCGGCAGCATCAGCGCATCGGCAGCATCGGCAGTATCATCAGCAGCATAGGTCGCGTCCGCCGTGCTGGCAGCAGCAGCAGAAGCAGTAGCAGCGGCGGTCAGCGCGGAGTGCTTGCCGCGAGGCGGGCCGGCAATGCGGTCCTCCACTTTTGACTTTTGAGTCGACTCAAAAGTCACGACGGCGGACGGGCAGAGTGCTTGCCGCGGGGCGGGCCGGCGATGCGGTCCTCCACTTTGCGTGCCGTGCATCTGTGACGGCCTTGCACACACATGCGAAGTAGATCCTGGTTAACGGAGGGAGGGCGGACAGGGAAGGGGGCAAGGGAGAGAGGATTGTTGAGTCGATTTGGCCTTGCACACACACGTGAAGTAGATTCTGGGAGGGGGAGGGAGGGGAGAGGAGGGGGGGGCCATAGTATCTGTAGAGAGGAATCCTTCTCTGTATCTATAAGGCCTTGCACACACACGTGAAGTAGATCCTGGGAAGGGGGCAGGGAAATGGGAGAGAGGTAGAAATGAGGGATGACACGCAAGCTAGTGAGTGTGCGTCCTGTGACGGCCTTGCACAAGCACACGTGACGTAGATGGGGGATGGGGGGGAGGGGGGGG